CATGTGCACCCCGTGCCTATCACAGGCACCCCATCCCTGCCATGGATATCCCAAACCCACCATGGGTACCTCGTCCCTCCCATGAGCACCCCGTGCCTATCACAGGCACCCCATCCCTGCCATGGATATCCCAAACCCACCATGGGTACCTCGTCCCTCCCATGAGCACCCCGTGCCTATCACAGGCACCCCATCCCTGCCATGGATATCCCAAACCCACCATGGGTACCTCGTCCCTCCCATGAGCACCCCAACCCCACCACAGGCACCCCATCCCTGCCATGAGCACCCCAACCCTGCCATGGGCACCCCATTCCCACCATGAGCACCCTGTTCCCACCATGAACACTCCATCCACACCATGGGCACCCCAACCCCACCATGGGCACCCCAACCCCACCATGGGCACCCCAACCCCACCATGGGCACCCCATCCCTGCCATGGATATCCCAACTCCACCAGGGGTACCCCAACCCCACCATGGGCACCCCAACCCCACCATGGGTACCCCATCCCTGCCATGTATATCCCAACTCCACCATGGGCACCCCATCCCCACCATGGGCACCTCATCCCCACCATGAGCACCCCATCCCCACCATGGGCACCTCATCCCTGCCATGAACACCCCAACCCCACCATGGGTACCCCATCCCTGCCATGTATATCCCAACTCCACCATGGGCACCCCATCCCCACCATGGGCACCTCATCCCCACCGTGAGCACCCCGTCCCCACCACGGGCACCCTGTCCCCGCCATGAGCACCCCAACCCCGCCGACCCCACGGGGGTTTTCCCAGCCAGGCCCCGCATGCAAAGCTGCCCTCGCAGCCTCTCCCGGGGATTTACCGGGCGCGGGGCCGGGGCGGCTGCGTGGGCAGGGAGAGCTGCTGCAGCTCCAGCTGTGGAAACACCGGCCCCGGGCCCCCTCCAGCTGCTTCCTGCCCCCCCCCAGCACCCAGCACCCAGCTGGCCCCTCACCCACAGCCCGAGCACGGCACGAGGGGCTCATCCTGCCCGGCGGTGACGGGGACCTGGCGGCCTCCGGGCCCGGGTGGCTGATGGAAAAGCTGATGGAAAAAAAAAAAGATGCTGGGCCTTGACCAGTGGAAACCCCCCCGCCCCGGGTGGGTGGGTGGGGGGTGTGGGTGTGCAGCATCCCCGTCTGTCTCCTCGGGGTGGAGGAGCTGGACGTCCCCCCTGGGGAGGTCCTGGCTGTTCCATGGGGGGTTGAGGTGTGGGAGCTCCCCATGGCAGGGTCCGGAGGGGGGGTTGGCAGCCTGCTGGCACCAGGGTTGGGTGCAGCCGCTGCCTTTGTGTGTCACCTCTTGTCACAGCCCGTGGCCACAGCCCAGCTGCGCCGGTGGCCCCGGAGGATGTGGCTATGAGGATGTGGCCACGAGGGCACCGGAGCGGCCACCGTCACACCCGTGGGCACCCCGCCCCATCCCCACATCCCCTGGAGCCACCCCCTGCATCCCCCTGTCGCTCTGTCCCTGCAGGTCTCGGCTACCCCCTGTTCCCTGCGGGCGGCCTGAACCGAGCCCTGGCCACCAAGACCCCCCCCCCGCTGTACCTGGGGGCCGAGGGCCGGCGCGGGGAAGCCCAGGGCAGCCTGGCGAGCGCCCGGGGCGGCGGCAGCACCGCGGTGAGTCCGGCTGTCCCCGGGGCCACGGCGGTGTCCCCTCCCCAAACCCAGCTCCTCCCAGCTCCCCTTCCCCAGCCCAGCACCGGGGCTTTGCTGGGGGGGCGCAGGAAGGGCGCGGGGTGGGGGGAGACGCTGCATCACGGCCCCCTCCCACCCCCCGAGGGCTCTGGTGGCACAAAGCCTGACGGGCTCACCCCGTGCTCCCACAGCGGCCGCTGTACCCGGCCCTGCAGACCCTGAGCCCCGTCCTCGCCCCGGGCAGCTCCAGCATCCCGAGCCACGGCCTCGCCGGCTTCCCCTTCCTCAGCCCAGCCCAGGCGGGTGAGTCCTGGTCCCTCAGCCCTGGGACGGCATCGACATCCTCCTCCCCATCCCCTCTCCCAACCTGTGGACCCCCCTTCCCCCGGATCCCGCTCACTCCTGTCCTCCTGCCCAGCAGATTTCGGGGCTGGCGAGGTCCCGCCGCCCCCCGGGTTCCTGCAGCCCGGCCCCCCGGCGTGGCAGCACCCCCGGGACATGGCAGCTCTGGGGTAAGGACGGGGGGACTGCAGGGTGGGGGACAGGGGCGTGTCTGCTCGTGGGTGCCACCTCCCAGCACCCAAGGCACAGCCCCCCACCCTCCACGCTGGTGCTCGTTCAGCTTCACCCCAAAACTGGGGTGTGTAGGGTCACCCCAGACTCCTTCCCAGCTCACCACTGTTGGCAGAGCCTGTTTCCAACTGGATTTCCCCATGGAGCCGGTCCCCATGTGCCCCCCCGGTCACACACCAGGCTCCCAGCAGCTGGATGGGCACCCGCCCAGTGCCCAGCTGGGCCAGAGCCGGGGCATGACACGAGTTTGGGGGGTCTCAGCCCCTCTAGCGATGAAAAGCAGGGGTGAGCTCAGCCTTTCTCCACCCTGCGCACCCCGGCAGGGCATCCAGGGAGACCCGGCCTCACCCCCCTCCCCTCTCGCCCCAGGGTCAGCAGCCGGATCGTCTCTGCCGAAGACCCTCCCCCGGCCCCCGGCTCCTCCCCGCAGCACCCAGCCGTCAGCATCAAGTCGGAGCGGGTCTCCCCGGGGCTGGGCTGCCCCTCGGGCACCCCCCAGACCTCCCTGGCCAGCCTGGCGTCCCTCAGCGAAGCCTCCCGAGGCCCCGGAGACCTCCAGCCCCGGGACGACTACGCCAAGGGGTACCCCTACCCCCTCGGTGCCCCCCGGCCGCCGGCGGAGGAGCAGAGGGTCGCGGTGCCCCCGCGGCGGGCGCAGCCCATGGACGTTTGGCAGAGATAGCGAGGCCGAGGGGGCGCGGGGGGGTGGGCCGGGGGAAGCCGTGCTTGGGGGAGCAGCCCCCCCTTCGCCCCCACCCTCAGGCCCTCGGGGAGAGCCCCCCGTGCCCTTTGCAGAGCGCCAGCGGTGCCACGGGGGCTTCTGGCGGGGTCCCGGCCCCCCACCCCGCTGCCCCCCACATGCCACCGACCCCGCTCCCCGCCGCGCTGCCCCCGTGACCCCCGCGAGGCCGGGACCCCCAGGGGCAAGGAGCGCTGCCCCCGGTGCCCGTCCCCGGTGCCCGTCCCCGCCCGTCCCCGCGCCGGAGTGTCCCCAGCGAGCGGGAGTGGCCGAGAAGTGCCACGCGGTGGCAGCAGGACTGAGAGCACCGGCAGCAGCTCCGACCCCGCACCCCCCCCCCGGCCCAATCCTGCGCCCAGGGGGGGCTGCCGGGGTCCCGCAGTGAAGGGGGGGTGAGGGGGGAAAGAAGGGAGGGGGCGGCCGGGGTGGTGGGTGTTGCCCCCCACCACCACCCACAGGGGCTCTTTTCTATTTATTATTATTATCTTCTCGCCAATAAAGAGCTGGGGGTGTCGGGGTGTCTGCTGTGATGTTCCTGGGGACAGCCCGCGTGCCCTGGGGTGGCAGGTCATTAATGTCCCCAGGGGGAGACGTGGCCCTTTGTCTCAGCGTTGTTGTCCCCCCCCCGTGTCCCCCCCAGGCTCAGAGCCGCCCCTCCAGGGTCAACAACCAGCAAGGTGGGTGACAGCCGGGTCACCCCCAGGCTGGCCAGGTCCCCGCGGCCCAGCCGTGCCGCCCCCACCCCTCGGTGACCCCAAAAAGCTGCTCGGAGGGTCTCAGTGCCACAGCCCGGCGCTGGGAGCGGGTGGGAGGAGGAAAAACCCCTTCTGTGCCCTTAAGATCGGCACCGGCGGGGCAAGGGGGGGGTTAAGCGGAGGGGTGGGACCGGCCCGGCTGAGCTGTGCCTCTTATAGCTCAGGGCTGGGCTGGGGATGGGGGTTCTGCCGCTTTTTGGGGTGGGGGATCATCCCCCGGGGCCTGCTGGGCACAGCCACGGTCACGGCCACGCTGCTGGGGGGTGAGTGAGGAGGGGAGGACCGGGGTCCTGCGGTGCCCCCCGCCCCGGAGGGGGGGTTGCTGTGGATGGGGGTTCCCCCAGCGCTGTCCGGGCACCCCCAGGTCGGGATCGGGTGGGGGCAGAGGGTGGGGGTCCCTGCACACCGCCAGCACCGAGCTGGGCCCCTTCCCGCGGCGGGGGGGATTACTGAGCCGAGCCCCGAGATTAAAACCTGGGCGGGAGATTAATCCTGGGAAGAGTTTGCCCCGTTTAATAGAGCGACATAAATACCAGCCGGGATTAGGGGGCTGCGCGGAGCCCCGGCAGCCCAGGGCTGGGGCCGGGCTCGGCCCAGGGCCCCCCCCGGATGGTGGGTCCCCTCCTGGGCCACCCTTGGGACTGGGAAGGGGCTTCTGCACGGAAAGAGGAGGCGAGACACCCGGTGAAAGTGTGGGGGCTGGGGTAAGAGACACTGATTGAATAGCAATGACTGCATGATTTATGGTTTGCATTATTGCATGGCTCATTTGAATATATGCTAATAAGGCTTTTCTCCCCGTTTTGTTTGTAAGATTTAGATTTGCTATGGCAACCCGCTGGCATGGAAGGAGCGCCAGGAAATGTCAGGGCGAGGTGAGCCCCGGGGAGGGGCTCGGGGCTGTCGGGGGGGTGGGGGGGACTCGTCGCATCCCACCACCGGGACACGGGAATGGCCGGCGGGACCCGGAGGGCAGAGCGGGAGACCCGGAGCCACCGGAGCCACGAATGCCACCGGCACCTGCAGGTCCAGTAACGCCCGTTGCGACAGGTCCTGAACTGGGGTTGTGGGGTGCCCTGGGGTGCCCCCAGCCCCGCTTTGGTGCTGCACAGAGGCCCCTCTGCCCCCAGCCTCGTGTCGCTGCTCACCTGCCCTGAGACCCCAGCGCAGGGGAGGGGGGGTGTCCCATCGCACTGGACCCAAAGGTGGCACCCAGGGACCCCCAGGTTTAGTGGGGAGGGGGTGGACAGTGCTCGGGGTGACACTGGGAAGCGACAGAGCACCTGCGTTCGCTCTGTGTCCCCCACCATCCATCCCACGGGGTCCTGGCCCACCGCGGAGGGCTCTGGGCCATCTCCCCACCTCTGTAGCTGCGTGTCCCCTTCCCAGGTGGCCCGAGAGCTGCCCCAGTGCAGCCCAGTTACCTGCAGAGCCAGCACGGGGGGGGCTGTGCTGCTCCGGGGGGGTGCTGGGCTCCAGCGCTCGGGGCTGCGGGGCCGGTGGGGCTTTGTCTCCCGGTCGGTGCCGGTCCCTCTCCCAGCGCGGGGGGGGATGTTGCTGCCGAGGGTCTGCACCCCGATTTGGGGGGCTGTGCGCCTCGCAGTCGGGGTGTTCCCTTGCCGGGGAAAGACGGGTGGGTTGGTTTTGGGGGCGTTGTCCCGTTGTCCCCTCCCCGGGGGGAGCAGCCCCGGATCCCAGCCCGGGGGGGTGTGGGCTGAAGGTCCGTGTCCCTCAGGGCGGCGGTGCCACCGAGGGGACACATCCCGGGTCCCTGCGCTGCCCCCTCCCCTCGGCTCTGCCGCCGCTGGGAGAGCACCGGGCCTGTCCCCTCGGAGCCCCACGGCCACGCGTGACCGCGGGCAGGGCCGGGGACGCTCCGGGCTGTCGCGGTGGCCCCGGGGCTGGGCACCGCCTGTCCCTGCAGCCACCCGGCCGCCGGGGCCACCCGCTCCGACGGGGGCCGGTCTCCGCTCCCGGGAACTGTTCCACGCCTTATAACGGGGCAGGAACGAGCCCCGGGGGTGGCGACGAGCGGCCGCGGCCCCGACGGATCGGAGGTGTCCGGTCCCTCCTCGCCGTCCCGCCGCAGCAAACCGGGGCCGAGCCGGGCACCGGGGGCTGCCTCCCTTCCCCCCCCCCGGTGCGTTCTCCCCCAAACACCCACTTTGTTGTTTTGCGAGAGCCCTGAAATATTGATGGCGCTGCGCCGAGCGCCTCTTAATGAATTTTTGATCAAAACTGTATCAGGGAGCCAAAATATGCCACCCATCCATCCGCCCCCCCCAAACCCGCGCCCCTCGGGGGTGGGGGGCACCGCGCCCGCCGGTACCGGGGGGATGCAGGACCCGGGCCCGACCCAAGGGCCTTTTACCGGTGGAAGTCCCCGGGCAAGGCGGGGGTTTCACCGTCACTGAGGGCGGGGGTCGCACCCCACAGCCGGGCACGGTTATTCCAGGGCTGGCGGCAGGATTTGGGGTGCCCGGCGTGCAGGCCCGGCCTCCTGCAGCCCGCGGGGCTGGGAGGGCCCGGCCGAGCCCCCTTGAAGCCCCGGCTGGACGGGACGGGCGGTGGGCGGCCGGGGCAGCGAGTCCCGGTGCCCCCCAGCCCGGCCGGGAGAAATATTCGTTAATGAGGAAATGCATAAGCGGAGCTCATTAGGGCAGAGCGCGGCGAGCCGGCGGCCTCCCCGGCAGCGCCGGGCCGGGGGCTGCTCGTACCCGGGGCGGGCAGGGCTGGGGGGGCACCGGGGCGGCACCGGCGCGGTCCCGGCTCCGCGGAGGGGGCCCCGCGTCCCCATCGCTCCGGCGGCTGGAGCCGGGCACGGCCCAGCCCGGCCCCGTTCGGTGGCTGGGGGTCAGCGGGGGGTTGTGCGTCTCTTTGTGTCCCCCCCCCCCGGTGCCGAATTTGGGGCGCGAACCCCTCCGAGCGCTGCGCGAAGCCACCGATTTTTAGCGCTCCGAAAATCCGGGTGCGGCGGAGAAGCGAGGGCGGGGTGGGGGTGTGTGTGTGTGGGGGGGAGGGAATCCGTTCCCGGCCGCTTCGGGGCTTGTAGCTGTTGACCCCCTCCCGGAGCGGGGGGCGGGAGGGGGTCATTTTTGGTTTAATTAAATAAAAATGGCCAATTTCTGCTTCATTTCCACGGAATAATCCCGCACCGGCCGGGAACGGGGCGCCCCCGCCCCAGCCCCTCCCGCAGCCCCCGGAGGGGGGTAACGGCAGGAGGATCCCCCAAATCCCCCCTCGGGGGTCTCATTTCCCCCCCCCCCCGCAGCCTCTCGGCCGCTCTGAGCGCGGAGGCCAAAGAGGAGCATCGGAGACCCCTGAGCGTGTTCCGGGGTGAGACTGGGGGCACTGGGAGGGACTGGGG